GGACTAGATGAAGAAGAACATGGTACTGGGACTGGAGGAAGGGTGATTAGCAACCTGAGATACGTATCGCACATGACACAACCTTGCTTTGCTGAAAGTGAGGAGGATTTGAAGCACTTGCTGATGAAAACCAAGGAGTGCAGTCTTCAGTGAGATTACAACTCAATGTAAAGCAAACCAAATCCTCGCAACTGGACCAATAGACAAGATCATGATAAACAGAGAAAGATCGATGTTACCAAGGATTTCATTTTACTTGGATCCCCAATCGGTGCTCATGTAAGTCACAGGCACGAATTCAAACGAGCTATTTCATTGGGTAAATCTTGTTACACAAGACCTCTTTTAAATGTTCAAGAATCAAGATGTCACTTTGAGGACTTGGGTGCACCTAACCCAAGCCATGGTATTTTCCGTTACCTCACATGCATGTGGAAGCTGGACAATGAATAGGGGACACTGGAAAAGAACTAAGACATTTGGATTATGATATTAGGGAGAAACTTGAACGCACCATCAAATGCCAGAAGAACAAGCCAATCTGTCTTGGAGGAAGTACAGCAAGCATGCTCAGTGGCACCTGACCAAATGTGTTTGAAAAGATTGAAATTTAAGAATATATTCTCTGACAAATTGAAAATTACTCAGACGATGCCTAGAAAAGCCTCCTTTACTTTAAAATTAAATAGCCAAATAGTCAGAAATCAGATATTAGAAAATATTTTATCAAATGACAATAGAAATTTATCAAAAATTGTAGGATAAGATATAGAATTTGTTTAAGGGAAATCGATACCTTTACATAGTACAAGGGAGGGTTTAAAATCAATGATCTAAGTTCCCACATGAAAGGAAGAAATAAACAACCATAAGCAACATATAACAGAGGATTCTCTTTTTAAAAAGTTTTTATTTTCTGTCATAATTTCCCTATGGTATTTCTAATATTAATTATTTGTATTTTTTGCACCTTTTTCCTTTTGAAAATTTAATATCAATATCATATTATTCCATAGTTCAATCACATCAAGGAGAATTGTACAATTGCTTCCACAATGAGTTTCTAAACATTCTTTTTTTACATGGGCTCCTTGACCTCATATCCCCTTCACCACCCCCTTCCCCCACTACCCCCTCCCTCCAAAACCCTTATTCTACTTGGTGCCTCCATAGGTTCAATCAGTCTGGGTTTCACAAATCAAAAAACTAAAAAAAAGCAACATATAGCACAACTTCAAGAGGGTTACCTCCAGTGACACGACACCTCTGAGATATAATACAAACCTTAATACAAACCAAAATTACAGAAAATTTTGGAAACCAGATCAGGTCCAGCATGCATCATAGGGGGCGGGGTATCTACTGATGAAGTTTTAACTGATTAAACCAGATTTATGCCTTTGATCTTTTATACTCATCTCTCCAAAGCTCTCTATGTAGTAACCACTTCCTTCCCCTCCCTCAATTGTAGATAAAGGGAGTTCTCCAAAGACGTATTTCCTAATGTAGTTCCACAAATGAATCCTGGGCTGCCACTGTCACCATACAATTTTTTCCCTTCTCTATTGTGTATTATTCATTTCACCATCTGCTTTCATCTTTATTTACCTTTGATGCATTATGCTGTCCTTTCCCCAACATTTTAATTTGGAAGCATAGACTATTAATTTTGAAATCTTTCTTATTTTCTAGCATGTCTAACATGGCATATATTTAAATTAAGGCTCTAAAATGTTTTATGAACTGTTTAAGTTAGAACCCTCGTTTTCAGATGTAACCTTATTATTATTCAGTTCCTAAATAACCCTTTCTAATTCCTTTGTGATTTCTTTTTATATTCATGGTTTATTTAGAAATGTTGACTTCCAAATAGCTGATGGTCCCTTTGTTATTTTTCTCTTCTTGTTTTTGTTGTTGTTGTTACTGTAGTCTCTGGGCTCATATTTGCAGAGTTTTGCTCAACTGCTCAACCTCTTGGCCCAGAATTGGCAGTTATTCTCAGGAGAGTGGCCCCAAATGCCAAACTCTTTTCAGTAGGTCTCCTTTTCCTCCAAGATCTTGGCTGATTCTTTTCACTACCTTGACGATTCTCCAGTGCCTTCAGATGTATTCTTATTTATTTTCCCCAGTTTTTCTAATTGTTCTGAGCAGGAGGGTTAGTTTGAATTACCAAGCCTTCCATTACCAAAAACAGATCATGTGATGGTTGTGATTTCTAATTGTTATAGAATTACAGTAAGGGGAGGAGGGGAGGCAGGGGGGACATATCCCAGTTATCGGTGCATAATCCCTCTCCCCAGGGGGATGAACAACAGATAAGTGGGTGAAGGGAAACAGCGGTCAGTGTAAGATATGGAAACAATAATAATTTATAATTTATCAAGGGGTCACGAAGGTGGGAGAGTGGGAGGAAGGGGGAAAAAACATGAGCTGATATCAAGGGCTCAAATAGAAAGTAAATGTTTAGAAAATGATGATGGCAACATATGTACAAATATGCTTGATACCATTGATGTGTGGAATGTTTTAAGAGCTGTAAGAGCCCCAATAAAATGATTTTTTTAAAGAGTTACAGTAGGAATGGGGCTAGGGAAAGCTATTGGGCAAAGAGACCATTCGAAGACCCAGTGGAGATAAAGGGGAAAATAAAACTAAACTTCAGCCAGAAAACAGAAAAGAGAAATATTTATATCTTTTATCTGCACCACAAATCACCACAGACTTGGTCGTTTAGACCACACATTTATTATCTTCCAGTTTCTATGGGTCAAGAATGCAGGCATGGGTTGCTGTGTGCATAGTAGTCAAGAGAGATGACCCCTCAGAGACACTGACAGGAGTAAGGTTCCGGGAGGGTACAGGAAGTGGGGGTGGGGCGAGGGGTGGTGAAAGCATCGATGATTGTCTAGCCCCATCCCCGATGGGATTGAACAGCAGAACTCTATGGGAAGGGAAGGGATATCTTGGAATGAGTAAGATATGACCATAAAAAGATTATTCAGGAAAACAAAACAGAATTCAGACATGGCTTTGCTGGCTATTCTCCCACAAGTCATGGTCAAAGTGTCTAGAGCTAGAGTTTTATTTGAAGCCACAACAAAGTAATGATCCACTTCTAACCTTACTACATGGTGCCTGGCAGAATTTAATTCTTTGAGGGCTATGTGACTTAGTTCTTAGCTGGCTTTTGGCCCCTTGCCACATAGGTCGCCCCATAGGTCGGATGACATCATGGCCGCTTCTTTCATGATAGCCAGTAAGAGTGCTTGTCAGCAAAGTGGAAGTTGCAATATTATCACAGAAGGTAGCCTCAGAAATGACATTACTGGCCCGTTTGAAACATTTCAGTTGGCTCCCTTTCACCAGATTTTTTTTTTTAAGTCTGGTTACTTCCTACCATAGTCTTCATCTCTCCCTTGTACCTTCTTTTAGCCTGTCTTTTCAGTGTCTACCCAGAAGTAAGGACAAACACAAGCTACAGAGAAGAGGGAAGGGGGCTAGGGGTGAGAAATGACATTACTTTGCCTCCTTGTCCTGTGGGTTGCACATAAGCCACAATACTGTGCTCCAGGACACGAGGTCACACAATGCTGTGAAGACCAGTAGGTGGAGATCCTTCAAGACTACAATAGGCTCTGCTTTCCACAATATCTATTCGTCTACATGACGGTTCTTTCTTCTTCTGGAAATGCCAGAGAAGATGGACAAATTAGACAATATTTAATACGTTACATATTAAAAACAACAAAACCAAAAAACTGTCCACGCTACCTGGAGTCAATGCTGACTCATAGTGACCCTGTGGGTTTCCAAGATTACAGGAGTAGAAAACCCAGTCATTCTCCCATGGAGCTGCTATTGGTTTC